GCCCTGGGACAGTTCTTGGAGACAAGACTGGGGAGAGGGAGTTGTTACAGAACCCTTCCTGACTGATGAGAATGTCTTTTCATGCAACCTTTTCTTCTGAGATTTTAGCTCGCCTGTAAGGTCAGTCCCTGTCAAGGCTTAGAGTGGACACCTTCATCGTGAGGCTGCCCAGATTTAATGGGCCTGGACTTTGGGGTCACACAAACCATGGTTTGAACACTGGTGCTGTGTTTAATAGTGCTGTAACTTTTGAATGAGACTTAAACTCCAAGGACCTTCATTTTTATGTCTATAAACTACATGAGAAAAAACTACCTTGCAGGGTTTTCTGTGAGGAGTGAATAAGATAGTGTGCATCAAATAGACTACCTTGTGTTTAGTAGGATTTTGATGAATGCTATTATGATTAAATTTATTGGGGTTTAAGCAGCTTTCCCAGAATTCACTAGTACGAGACTGATACTAGTTTTTGTGGGTCTTTCATTTACCTGGTGTTTGGTAGGTGTGAGTTACTTCTGTTGGATAACAAATAATAGAAGTAGTGTGTTCCTGTCTTGTTGTTTATACTTAGAATTTACTCAGAGGCTGTTATCATATCAAAGTATCATTTATTGCATCTTAAACAATGATAAAGTAGCAGCAAGCTACTAATGAGCAAATACTTATTGACTATTTCCTGTGCAACACACACTTTTTAAAGTAGGGACTATGCGGATGCAAGAGATCCTAAGATAAAGATTCTGGCCTTATGAACTGTCCATATCTGGGGTAACATATTCATTAAAAAACACTAAATCTTCAAGTAGGAAATAAAGGTCAAATGAATAAGACAGATAATTGTTCTTTTTTTCTTTTCTTTCTTTCTTTCTTTTATTTATTATTATTTTTTCTTTCTTTTTCTTTTTTTAATTGAAGTATAGTCAGTTGACAATGTTGTGTCAATTTCTGGAGTACAGCACAATAATTCAGACACATAGGAACATCCATATATTCTTTTGACAGATAACTGTTCTTGATTCTACCTGTTCTCTCGCCTTCACGGTCAGTCTATCACCAAGAAGCTTACTCTGCTTCCAGACTACGTCTCATACCCACCCACTTCTTTCCGTTTCCACTGTCGCTTCTCAAGTGCCTCCAAGACCTCGTCTCTCTCGGCTGGCCTGCCGCTCTGGACCCTAACCTGACCTCTCCTTTTACTCCTGTTCCTCCCATCCATTCTCCAAGCAACAGTCAAAATGGTCTTTGAAAAATGCAAGTCAGATTGTTTCATTTCCTCTGCTTAAACCCTCCAAGGTCATTCAGCTGCTTTTACATAAAATCCAGGCTCTTTCCTGAGGCTAACAGGGCCCTGTGTGGCCTGGCTCCTCTCTTCTGCCCACCTTCACCTCATGCCACTCTCCCTCTTGCTAGCTGTGCTCCAACCAACAGGTCGTATTTTTTTTTTTTCTGGAACACGCCTAGAACTTTCCCGCCTCAGGGTCTTCACATTAGTTATTCCATTCCATCGAAATGTTCTTCCTCTGGTCCTGAACGTGACTGGCTTATTCTCAGCCTTCAGGTCCTAACTCAGATGTTACCTCCTCAGAGAGATCAAACAGTTCCCAACCACTCTATTTAAAAAGTCTTTCCCATCATATTATTTTACCTCCTACATAATAGTTACCACAGTCAGCATTTATCTTGTTGATTTATTATTACTATTATTATTTTTGTCTAATTATTCTCTCCCTAAGTTTTGTAGGGCAGTGATCTTACCCATTTTGTTGACTGCTGTAGTGACTGACATAGTGTCTGGCATGTACTATGTGCTCATTAAATACAGGAATAAATGAACAAGTGAATTTAGGCCACAAAAGTTCAGAGGAAGAAGGGATCCTTCTGTTAGTCATGGGGCAGATCTGTCATTGGGAAGGAGTAGGCTAGGTATGTGGGAGAAAGTATGTACCTGGAGGAGAGAGAGTGTGAGTAAGGTGGAAGGGGGTGGAGAGGGGCAGATACTGTAGATTTTCAGAAGTGGAACTTATCTTGAGGGGCAGTGGGTGTAGGAGAAGGAATCTGATGGATGTAGGTTCAGCTCCTAGCCATCACGTAACTATATGACTTTGGATATTTCATTTAACCATGTTGAGCCATTTTGCCTATAAAATGGGGGGAAATCATCTCTATCCAGGATGGTTACTGTGCATAGTAATGATACATACTTGGGGCCCTAGGGCGATGCATGTGATGATAAATGGTAGCCATTCATACAAATATTTAATTTAGATTCTCAGCTGCGAGTGTGCATACAGATCAAATTGGGAGCTCTGCAGAAATGTCGATGCTGAGAACCCAGCTCAGTACTACTAATTCGGAAGAGTTATGGGTCTGGGTGAGGGTAGGGGTGTGCGTGTGAAAGTCCAGCATGTGTGTGTTTTCAAAAGCTCTCCAGGTGATTCAGATGTATAGCTGTTGTTGAGAACCATGTATTTAATCCAGGTCATGCTGGAATCCTCTCTAAATATCTCTTGCCCAGGGACTGTCCAACTTGAATAGCTCTGTGATGGGAACTCACAGAATAAGGCCCAAGTTGCCTGTCACTGGATATCTACCTGACCCTCCAAACCTTAGTCTCTAGAGAACAGGCTAATGCTTTCTCACCCCCTAAGTTAATATTTTTGGTGTTAATTTAAAAAAATCTTGTAGTCCCAACTAAAGCCACCGTGCCTTCTGTTATTCATGGTCATGTCCAAGGTGGAAGCCAATTTGGTTATCTTCTGAATTCTTATCCCTTTAGTATCTATGCTTTTCCCTTAATTCAGCTGTGTGTCTCTGAGTTCTCTGCCGAAGCTCTCCAACGTGCTATTTAGAACTCCAGCGTCAAGGTCCATAAACCTACATAAATCTATACCCTCAGTCTATTCACTGATGATCCCTCTATTTCCTGCTGTAACTGAACCCTGGCTTGAACTAGAAGATGTTTTATATGTCAACAGTGACCGGGCAGTCTTAAGAAACATTAACCACCTGTTCGGTTGGTTGCTCGTGTACACACAAATATACTCATGTCTTGGAATGTTTGGGGCCAGTAAACATGTCTAAAGGTTTGGTGCTGGGAAAACATGCTGAAGGCCAAGGGATCTTGTGTCCGGTAAACGTGTATGAAATGGGAACAGATCCCCGGGAACAAACACTGGGCTTGAGAGGTAGACAGGGTTAGAGGATACATTTAATGACCACCTCATTCTGGTCCCATAGCTGCTCATGATTTGAATTGGTACTGACCAGAGACTAGCTCTTTTTAAAAAAATCTCAGAATCAAGGGACTGATTAGGTGGATTGAACTATTGTATTGAGGATCTTATGATAACTCCAGTGACAACTCTGCTCTGAGAGGCCTCCCTCCAGGAAGTAACTCGGGGATTCTGCAACAGACCAAGCATCCATAATGGGATGGAGAACAGTACAATTCCATTAAATCCACCAGTTCTGTATTAGTATCTCATCTCAGAGAAGCCACCTGTTTCAAAGGCCAAGAATGGTTGATGGGGAATAGGGAACAGATCATGCCATTTTCTCTATTTTGAATGCTTTGTCTCTATAAATGGACTTCTGTTTTAAAAGCTTGGATGTCAGGAGTGCTTAACTTTCTTGACTTTCTCCAGACTGGGGAGAAAACTAAAAATCAGAATAAATGCTGAAAGTTATTTATTTTTTCTTTCTGGATTGAGGTGTAATTGGACTAGTGATTACATTTGGTACTATTATGGCTACCTTATTTTATTTATTTTTGGTTGGGGGGAGGTAATTAGGTTTATTTATTTATTTATTTAAATGGAGGCACTGGGGATTGAACCCAGGATCTTCTGCATGCTAAGCATGTGCTCTACCACTTGAGCTATATCCTCTCCCCATGACTTGATTATTTTATAATTATATATTTATTATGTTTTCTTGAATAAAATTGTATCTGTGAGCTCCCCACGACTATATGGGAAATTTAGCATGTTTTGTTCTTCTTTTCATCTCACTACTCAGATTTCATTGAAATAATTTGAAATTTAATTTGCAAATTATTACTTTTTCCACACTGTTCAGCTTTCAGTGCTGGAATCCTTTACTGTTAGTTTTCTCAAGCTCTACAGTCACATGTAAATGACTATGATTACCCATACATCATGCTGATTTCATGGCCCACTAGTGTTTCTTCTAAAACCCTGTCCTTCTCCTTTCTTAGAATGCTTATTCTCAGTTTTTTTGTTGGACTGAAGTTATTTTTGAATTTTTATTCAGAAAAGATACATTTTTTTTTAAATTGTAAAATATCTGAAAATGACTCTTTTATTCTTATATGGAGTAGAGTTTGGCTGGGTCTGAAATGGTAATGTCATAATCCTTTTCCCTCAGTTTGTTCTCTGTTAATATCCCCGTGTCTTCTAGTAGTCAGAGTTGCAGAGAAGGAATTTCATATCAATTTTATAATATAATTTTTGTCTCCCTCTATGCAAGTAACTTTTTTCTTTGAAAGGTGTATATAAATTAAATGCTTAGACTATAAATACTTTCCCCATCACTTTGTTTTAAAAAGTTTGGAGATTTTATATATATTTCATTTAATATTCAATTGGTAACAAAACTACAGTTGCATTTTCGTCTAGTCAGGAGTTAATGATCTGAAGATACATAGTAAAAGATACTAGAAAAATCTCAATATTTTAAAGAATTCTGAGATGGATCATTTCATTGACCAAGGAATTCTTTGTAATATAAATAACCTTATAATTGGTATGTTTTCTCTATATACTTGTTTGTAAATTTCATTAAACTCAGAGATACCTGTTTTTCTTACTTCTGAACAATCTTATTTTATATACCTCACAATTGGATTATTTGATAGGGTTAGTGTTTTCTCTTTTCCCAGTTGACTGGACTCTATCATCACTGAATATTTCTTTCTAAAATATGAATGATGGGGTGGAAGTCATGGGGCATAACTAGCGCTGTGCTGTTTCCCATTGCAGAGATCAACTGTGGCCGCCCTCCGGAAGTGCAGCACGCGGTCCTGGTGGGGAACCACAGCTCCAGCCTGGGCGGTGTGGCTCACTATGTCTGTCTGGAGGGCTTTGAGAGCCCTGGAGGAAAGATCACTTCCGTCTGCACAGAGAAAGGCACCTGGAAAGCAAGTACTTTGTCATGCACAGGTACAGACTCCAATGTGGGGGGCTCTTGTTAGAAGCAAATGGCCAGCAAGAGCCTGGAACTTAATGCCTTCATTTGATTGCTCACTCTGTGTACTGTGCCTGGCTGTGCCATTTACCTGCGTGGGCACCTGGCTTTAGGTTTGTCAGCTAAATCCTGAAGATTTAGGGGCTGGATTGGGAAAAAAAGTAGGATAGAGAATCTTACGCATCCATCTTTTGAACCTCACCTTAAATCATAGCAATTCCTGTTTCCTCTGCTTGGCTAGCTGAGAAATTTTTCTCCATGAACCATTTTCTCAGCGGGCCGTGCTTGAAAGTCCTAATTTAGCACATGTTGACAGCTTTTCAGAGAAAGGGTGGTATAATGTATAATGAGGTTTTTAATGTTTATTTTTAATCATGGTAAAATATACACAACATAAACTCTACCATCTTAATGATTTTTCAGTGTCAAGTATATTCACATTGTGCAGCCAATCTCCAGAATTTTTTCATCTTGAGAATCTAAAACTCTACACTTGTTAAACAACAGCTTCCTACTTCCCCCTCCCCACAGCTTCTGGTACCACCATTCTACTTTCTGTTTCTATGAGTTTGACTAATTTACCTCATGTAAGCGGAATCATACAGTATTTGTCCTTCTCTGACTGGCTGATTTCACTTAATGTACTCCAGGTTAATGCATGTTGTCAAAAATGGTGAGTTTCCATCTTTTTTATGGCTGAATAATATTCTGTTGTATATATATGTGTGTGTGTATATATATATATACACACACCACATTTTGCATATCCATTCATCCATTGATGGACATGTGTTGCTTCTACCTTTTGGTTATTGTGAATAATGCTATGAGCATGGACATACACCTCTTTGAGACCTTGCTTTCAATTCTTTTGGATGTGTAGCCCCAAATGGAATTACTGGGGAAAAGAAATTTTGAGACTTCAGTTCAAATTCTTGCAGTGCCATATGTTAGCTGGGTGTAATCAACTAAGGCATTATTCTCTCAGAGCCTCAGTTTCCTCATCTATAAAAAGGGGAAAATAAAGTCTGCCTTTCCTACTTCAAACAGTTATTGAGAGAGAAGCAAATGAGATAGTCAATGCGGGGAGCATTTGGAAAAGTTTAAAGCACCGTGCGTGTGTTCGGTCTGCTGCTGGGATTGTGAGCCTTGCTTGAAGAGGGTCTTCTCACGTGTCGGAAGCGTGCACTTCCACATGCTTTATTTCACGCTTCTTCCTCCAAGAAACAAGGTGAGATAAGGCAATGATTCTTATGTTTATAGTGGTTGACCAGGGCTGTGACAAAGGTTTGTCACACAGTCTTGAATAGCTCTGGAAATTTATTTCTAGATGTTGACTTGCTTGGCTCTGAAGAGTGAAATCTCGAGGCAGCTTTGATCTGGGTCTCTGGTTTGCCTTGCAGCAGAATTTTGGTAGAATGTCTCAGGTCTTATCAATCAAAGTTTTCCATGGGAAAGTCTAGCCAGAGCAGTTTCAACATGCAGACTGCTGGTGATTATTTTCCAAAGAGTAATGTTTGACCATTTAGGGGATAGGAATTTGATGAAATCTGTCAATTTATTCAATAGATATTTATTTAGCATATGCTATGTGTGAACTACTTTGCTGGACACTACCTTCTTGGAATTTATAGGGCAATAGGGTAAATAGACTTTTCTCCAAAGAAATGCGCATACACATACACACGAAATGTTTTACAAATTCGAGGTGTTCAGGGACCTCTGAAGTCCTCGGGCAAAGCATCCTCGAAGTGGATGAAGAACTCAGTTCTGTAGCCAAGACCCTGTCTGTGCCATGTAGTTCCCACGTTCAGTTATCTCCACTGCAGATGCAGCAGGAACAGGCTAGAGATGGCAATCATGGAAACAGAGAAGGGTAGACATGGGTGAGAACCCAGAGATCTAGTTTGGCCTTCTCTTCGGTCCCCCTGACTAGCCCCACTTGCACAGAGAAGCAAGGGAAGACCTGTAATTACCTCCGAGGGCTGCAGTCTTCGTAACTGGGGAAATTGAGAAGAGCTATGCCATTTCCAGCCAGACTGATGGTCATCCCAGACTAGTATTGCATCCCCAACAGTCCTTCGAAGAGTTCTTTGGAGGAAGTGAGGCAGCTGCCTCATAGGTTGCTGAATTCAACCTTTGGGGAGGTGGTCTTGGCCCAGAGCGACCTATAGAGTCACCCAGCAGAGAGCTGGGCAGAGCATGTGGACCCTCAACCATTTGCTTCTTTGCTCCAGCTCCTGTGCCTCCACCACTCGGAATTCAGTGGGGGCATGGGGATTAGTCACTACATGAAAAACCAGTGGATCTTCCCAGGGCATAGTAAGCTATTAATTAGCTGGTGCTTGTAGAGCACTTTGAAGAACAAACATGTTATGTAACTGCTAATTATAATTACCGACTTCAGCCTGCCACCTTCCACCAAGTCTGTGGCTCCGGCCGCAGCTGTTTCCACGGGTTGATGCAAGTGTTGGTTTAAGGAGAGAAAAGGCATACTCCCTGAGAGCTGTGATCTTTCTGTGAGGAGGCCTCGAGGCCCTCAAACAAGATTGGCAGCTAAATTCAATTTCCGCTGATAAAGGGAGTGATTTACATGCTGATTAATTCCTGGCACAGTGCACACAGCTGCTGGGTGGTTAGGTAGGAGAGGCTTCTGGAACTGCAGTGAGAGATGCTCATTACCATGGCTCTTGCTCAGCTGCCCCCCCCTCCTTCTTTTTCCTGTTGTTCACCCATTTCTTCATACGTCTTCGCCTGTCCCAACTCTCTTTGTGTATTTTATATTTACCTTCCTCAGTGTCGACTTCTGGGTTTTTCCCCCCGTCTTCTACTTTTCTGCCTAACCTCTGAATGTCTTCTACCGCTGTCCTCTGTTTTCATTCCGTTTGCCCCTCTTTTTACATTTGATTGTTTAGTTCCAAGTTGGGTGGAATAATTTATCTTCACTTTACTTGGATTGTTTTTAGTTAAAAATGTTTTTGGAGTCCCTATTTCTTTCGATTAGTGGCACACATCTGTATATGTTTTTAATGGAGTGTGAACTCCGGCAAGATGGGGAGTTTTTTTTTGTTTGTTTCAAGGCTGGTTTAGACTGGAAACTCCAGACAGCTGAGAATTAGGCAATTACTTTAGTGTCTGGAAAAACCCCAGGTGGAAGCTTGATGTTCAGTGAGTCGGTTTACCTCAAGATCAAAGAGCCTGATTCATTCTTGATAAGACTGTCCCTGGCTTTCATTCTGCACTGGTCATTTGGCTTTTTATGTTTAGAATCTGAGTTAATAATTATGCGGTTGACGCTCACGCACTCCAGGCTCTTCGGGGAGTTAACATCTCTGTTGATACCCAGGCTGTGTGATTGCTGGGATCCCTTCTGAGCCCCTGACCCAACTTGGGCCCTGAGTCCACATGCCTCCAGGCCTCCTGTTAGCCTCTGCCCCGTCTGTTTTGTTGTTGATCCTTTTCTCCAGCCCGGTGAATGCTCACTTGCAGCTCAACGTATTTCAGATAGCAGAGAAAGGTCAGCCGGAATAAATGGACACGTTTACGTCAACAGCCACATGGCTGGGATTTGTCTGAATACGTGTGCGATGTTTAGACCGTCAAGCATGGGTGCTACCTCAGATGGGGCACCGACCTCAACGCCCAGGGTTCTGCCAGGAGCCCGGATGCTTGATTTCATTTTGTCCTCAAAAAAAAAAAGAAAAAAAAACCCTGTGAAGTCAATTTTCGTTTCATAGGTGAGTCATCCGAGACTCACAAAAGTTACGCAACTTTCACAAGGTCATTCAGTGACCAGTAAGTGGCAGAGACAATTCGAACTCAGGTCCTGAATCCTGGAAAGTCCGCGATCTCTCTCCTACCAGAGTTCCCAAGCTTGAATTATTTGCAGACCACCCTGATCATGTTTGCCATGACAAAAATATTATTTACTCACTAAGTTTCTTAAAATAACTTACATTTAAAACTTAAATTTGTAACTTAAATGTACTGATCAAAGACACTTTGTCATATATGTAGCATCATGAGTTTGATGAACAGTTAGTTTTTGTTTCAGATGTACACAAAAATTGACACAAAACGGACACGTGGAAGTTTATTCATGTGCCACCAAAAATGATCCTAAAGTGTGCAGTGCATTTTAGGAAAGCACTGCTCTAAGCCACGTTACTTCAACCTGTTTTATGTGACCCTAAAGACTTAAAAACAAGAAAGGAACCTGGCAGAAGTCTTATAGCCAAACATACATTTATTCAAGGTTGTCACCTTGGGAAGCCTTACCCTCTTTTCAGTGACGCTGCTTTATCACAATGTGTCTGTTTTGTAATCTCTGTTTGAGAATTGCCTTTGGAGGTAGTTTATTGAGTCATATTAGAAGATTAGTCATATTACTTTTGAAATCTGTTTTTGACTAGAAATGACATTGAGCTTGACCATCTGTTAGGGCCTCCTGAATTTACTCTGTTTTCAAAAATAAAGAGAATGGATATAAAATTGGAATCCAAGAGAGTGTGCAAGGCCAGTCCTTGCCCACAATGGCACTTCTGAGAGTGTAGTCTGTGCTCTCTGTCCCCTCCCACCCCATTCTCTTCTCAGCCTCCTGATGGCGAAGAATCAGGCATCCGACCCCCCCATTCACTGTAGCTCTCTCACCACGGTCACTAATGACTGTGTAACTCTCAAGTTCATGTTCTAGTTTCAGTCTTGATTTCTCTTAACCTCTCCACAACATCTGGCAAGGGTGATTATCTATCCATACATTCATCATCTATTCAATCAATCAACCAAACAGTGAATATTTAAAAAGCACCTGTGTCAGGGAACTGAATTAGGTTCTGGGGATGGAGAGAGAAACCTGGTTTTTGCTGTCATAGAGTTTACATTCGGGAGAGATAGACATTAACTAACTAATTACGAATTTATTTATTTACAAATATGATGAGTAGCCCAGAAAAATGCTGGATGCTAGTAGAATGCTAAAATACGTAACTTTATATATATATGTACGTTTAGACAAACACACACACGCACCACATACAGAATCTAAAACAAAGCAAAGGTACTTTATTACCCATGGAGGCTTTGGTTCCCAAAGCCCAGTGCAGAGTTCAGTTGGATGCTGTGGGGGCCTCCTTTGGTTAAAGCCAGAGAGGCCTAAGTGTCCTACAGCTGGATGAGCAAAAGACCAGCTCTGCCTGCCTCTAGCCGGAGTCCAACCTCAGATCTAATCATGACACCGTGTGCACTGCACTTGGGGAGAAGGAGCCATACGAGAGGAGAGAGAGAGAGAGATTGAGTCCCCAGTGCCTTATGTTCTGCTTCAGGCCTCTCCTGGGTGAGGGTGAGGAGATTGGGGGAACTGGTGGGAAGGAAAGGAGATAGCTTTTGAGGAAGCTGACACTCCGTCAGATCTTCTCCATCCTTGACTCCCTAAGCATCACAGTCTCACAGCCTGCATCCTGCCTCTCTTCTGCCGGGCTTTCTCCTCTGGTTTGCCCTTGGGCTTTGGGGTGTCCCAGTGCTCTGCCATCGTGCTGCTCGCTCTCCATGTCTCACCTGGGTGTCCCGCCTGCACCCAGAGCTTCAACTAGCATGCACGCTTTGATGACCTTAAGACTATTTTTTCACCTGGTGGTCTAGTCTGTAGATAATTCAGATTTAGCATGCTCTAAGCACAATTCATCAGTCTCCTCCTCAGACCTGGTCTGCTTCCTCTTATATTTTTCATGAGAACAGCAAAAGGCAGTCTGTTCAGACTCTCAGGCTCAAATCTCTTACCTCCCGTTGCTTCTCCTTCAGAATTGTCTCCTGGTTTTAAATATAGTTGGTTTCCTCTTTTCACTTTTTTGCTGAATAACTGCTCCAGTGCAAAGGCTCTGGGCTTTGGCGTCTGACAGGTCCGGTTTTGGATCCTGACTTGACTGCTTTCTCGCGTGTGACCTTTGACAGGCTGCTTAACTTCTCTAAGCCTCAGGTCTATAAAATCGACCCGACAATGTCAGACTCGTGGAGTTATTATGAGGATTAGGTAAACAATACATCTAAAGTACTGTGCGTGCTCTCTGGTTCATGGTAATCACTCAGTAAATGTTCACTCATTTTTGATTTTATTCTTGCTGCCTGTGACTGCTGTGAAGATGTGATCACGTCTATGAAGACCTCTCTTTCAGTGTTTGATGTAATGTAATCACTGAGCAAAGGGGATCAGTTCTTTCCTTGTGACCTCCAGTGTCTCCTTCAGAATACACCCGAGTTATCTTTTTATTTAAAAAAGGAAAAAAGTTTCCCATCATTTTCCAGCTTTTAGCTCTCTGTCGTTCATAGGAGGAAGTCTGCACTGTCTGGCGGTACAGTTCTCTCCCCACGCTGAATCTGCCACACCTTTTACACTTCCAGGCATCAGCCCTGCTGTTCTGTCTGCTTAGATGTCTTTCCCACTGTTCAGCCATTCATCCCGGAAGGTCATGCCCTCCATGAAGCCGACATCCCCAGGTCTTCCAGGGAGAGCTGGTGGCTTCTTTCTCTATCCTCCGTGGTACTTGAGCATCACTGTGTCCTGATATTCATCGTGTTATGCTTATATGTTTGCTCCCTCCATCAGACAACATGTTGCTGTGGGAAGGGCTTATGTTCTGATCATCGTCCAGCCCAGTGCCTGTAATGGGAGAGCGCTTGGCATTCGATAATTGTTCCATTAAGGGTGAATGGCGAATAAAGAGCCTTGGCGTCAATTTCAAAGAGAACTTCCAGAAATGTTTTCAGTTTTCAGTACTATTGGGATTAGGCCAAGTCATCTCTCTTAAAGGGGCAGCATTAATTTGGATGTTTAGTATCTGATACGTTTATGAAGAAGTCTTCCCAGCTGATTTGTAGACACCCTGGAGGGAAAACCAACCGAATTTTATTAAACTGCTCCTTGGGATGAAATATCTGACATCCCTATAATCAGATCTGGGCCCCATCTGTGCAGAGAGCATGGCACAGGCTGGAGGCAGATGGCGTTTTTGAGATGTCATTTGCGGTTGTCATAGTGAAAGAGCAAAAAGGAAGAACAAGAAGGGAAACTTTCATGTCTCCTTTCTAGTCTCTGCTTGGGTGGCAGAGGGGTCCTGAGTGGGAAGGAAATGTGCTTTACTGGCAACTCAGAAAGAAGGTGAGGGGTGGGATGTTTCCTTTTCCTTCTGGACCAGGTGGTGTGTTAGTATCAGAGGGATGTGGGCATGAGCAGAGGAGTCCAGAGCTCTAGAGCTTAGAAGGGCTCTCAAGAAGGAAGGGGTTGGAATATTTGGGACTTGTTCAAGCTCATGAGACTGGTGTCAGCATCATCTTTGTACCCAAGGAGGTGAACAAACAGGGTCTTTGCATCTCTCAGGGAACTAATGTTCAGGAGTGGAGAATTTCTTTGATTTCAAACGATCTGTGCTTGGGGAGAAGCGTTGATGGAGAGACCGAGGAGTGCTTTGGACAGGCATCGCTATCCTCTGGTACCGCTCCAGAAGCTTGCCTGTTTTCCTCTCTCTCCTTTATTTATGTTCACATACAGGCAGCTGACCTGAGCCTACCCAAGACCAGGTGTAATGTGCCACCGAGAATCTCGGTAATGCTGCTGTGACTTAGTAAAGATACAAAATCTTCCATGGGCAAAGAGATCAGTAGACCAGCGTCTATCTAAAGGTCGTATTCCTCCTGAGCACAGGAGAAATGAGTCCACCCTACAGGTGCCTAAGGTGCAGAATCCCTTTCCCACTTGGAGGCTGAGAAGAGATGTACTAGAAGGAAGGACAGGAGCCGAGATGAAGGAAGGCATCTCCTGGGGTGGAGGCTTATCTTTCTCACCCTTCATGGTGGGAGCCTTACCTTGGGTTTCCCAGAAAACAGGGCCTGAGGCAGAGGGCTCATGTTTCTTACACAACAGGGAATGAAATCTCAGGAGGCAGGGGTGAGGGTGGAGGTGAGGGCAGCAGGGCAGGAAGGAGAGCCAGTTTAAGGACGCCGTGTTGCATGGATCTTCACTAAGTGCAGGTGATTCTCGGTCACTGCAATGACGCCCTGAGAGGTCTTTGTAGGACTGGCCTTCATGGGGAAGGAAGATCAGGGGCAGGATCCCCTGCCTCCTGTCCCTTGAGGTGTTCATTCCCCTGAACCTCTAGGTTGCACGTGCTTGGTGTGCAGCAGGGAAGCCCCAGAACAGGGGACAAGACATGGTCATGTTGTCGAAGCCCACATGGGGCTGGAATAAGGGAGAGGAGAGGCTGAGAGGCTCTAAGCGTCCACGAGGGGTGTCTGATTCAATGGGGAAGCCTGAATGTGGGCTGAGGAGTATCCCTGTTTGGTGAGGTGATAATTCCCTCCTCCAGAGCTGGTAGTATGGTAACCTCTATCTGCAGGGAGCTTTCTTTCTTTGTGTGTGTGTGTGTGTGTGTGTGCATATATATTTTGATTGAAGTATAGTCAGTTTACAATGTTGTGTCAATTTCTGGTGTACAGCATAATGCTTCATTTATACATGAACATACATATATTCATTTTCATAAGTTGCTACAAGATATTGAATATAGTTCCCTGTGCTATACGGTATGAACTTGTTGTTTATCTATTTTGTATGTATTAGTATTTGCAAGTCTTGAACCCCCCCATTTATCCCTTTTTTTTCTTTTTGATGCTGTTATAAGCGAATTTTTTAAAAACTTCATTTTTGGATTGTTCCTTGCTAGTGTACAGAAATAAATTGATTTTTGTACATTAGCCTTGTACTCTGCAACCTGGCTGAATGCCTTTCTTATCTTTAATAGTTTGTGTGTGTGTGTGTGTGTGTGTGTGTGAATTTCTTAGGATTTTTTATAGACAAGATTATGTCAATTGCAAATGAAAATAGTTTTATTTATCTGCAGGGAATTTGTTAAGTAGATAAAAAGCTAGATCCTTGCTCCCTTCTCATCAGAACAACTTCCTAGGTGGTTTACTGGGTCCTCTGAAAACTCTGTTACCTCAGGAACCAAGGCCCTAATACAGTTTCCCACGTTGCCAAATTTATTACATGAAGTACACACAGAATATTTAAAGGAAGCAGAACAACTTGAAGAAATCCGTGACTTCCTGATAAATCAGGATGCAGTAGTGTCAGTTAAAGGAGCCCCAGAAGTATGCAGGGAGGATTTATTCGGTTCACTCCAATGGGTAGCTCCTGAGGAATGGCCCCCCGTGGTGATGCGTGTCATTTCCCTCTGGGGCACAGCAGTCACCTGGAAATGAGCGCTCCATCAGCCAGGTGGGATGAAGAAGGCGGAAGCTGGTCTTACCTGTGCAGCTGCAGGGAAGATTCAGGGCTCAGCTCTGGGCCTCTTTCCACCCCACCTGAGTGGAACACCAGGGGCATCCAGTGGCCTGTCAGACCAACCACAGGTTGGGATTCACACCTAATCTTTCCTTTTCTTCCGAGTCAGGTAATGGGCCAAGCTCCTTCATGATGACATTACGTCGAGTGATTGGCCCCAGATAGCTTGAATTGCTGATTCAGTTTCTGTATCAGAGCATGAATGGTGATCTGCCGAGACACCAGCGGGGCAGAGAAACTGCATCGTGTCCTCTCCCGTGGTGGCCATCGGGATTTTTCCAAAGCCCATTGATGCATTTTTGTGAGTGGACTCTCTCCTTTTCCATTTTAGAAATAACTATAGAAATTAATGACGTATCTGTGTTTAACAACACCTGTGTGAGGTGGCGAATAAACCCAGGAAGAATAAACTCCAAGACTGCATACCTGGTAAGTAAAGTGATCTCCTTTCTCCTGCTAGAGCGGGAATGGTAACCCTCGGGAAGGTGAGTTGGCGGGACTTGCTCCCGGAATTGCTCCTCAATCTCATTGCTTCCCGATCCCATAGTCCTTTTAAAAAGTGGACAGGATTCTTAAGACGTCTGGATGATTTTATTTTAGGTTTTATGGTTAGTATATTTGTCATTCTCCAGGGTGTGTGTGTGGGGGGGATGCATTTTTATTTGGCATCATTATCGCTTGTTTCCAAGCTCTTGTATTTCACTCCCCCAGAGCAAGCCTCGAAGCATCTGCCGCCTCGGTGACAGGATGCAGCGAGTGAGTCTCCGGTGGTGACTGCCTCCCCTGATCGCCGGTCATTGGAGTGTAGGCTAGCACTCCCTAGAGAGACTCCTCAGTTTCTGTCCTGGCTCAGGGTTTATGGATTACTGGGCGGGTCAGATTTCCTCATCAGATACCTGATAGCAGAGGTCTGCCTTACTTCTCTCCCCCGGGATGAGCAGTGCAACGTGAAAGGGAGTAGTAGGTGTGTAGGTCCCAGCACCACAGCGTCTCTCTTGGTTGTTTTAACTGGAGCCATGCTGGGTTCTCTTGTCTTCCCCCCTCCGAAAGGTGCACATAAAAGGACACCGGTTGGACTCAATGGAATCAGTTCATGAGGAGACGGTCAATTTGACCACAGAGAGCAGGACCCCAGAAGTGTGCCTAGATCTGCACCAGGGCACCAACTACACCGTCAGCATTTCTGCCGCCCCTCCCAGACGCTCTGTGCCAGCCATCATTGGGTTCCAGACAGCTGGTAGGTGGAGGTGAAGTCTCATTTCCTCCTGGAAGGTGCTAAGCACAGGATGTGGGGAAATGTGTTTCAGAATCCACTGGTCAGGAGAGTTCACAGTTGCTTTCTGAGATTTGTAGCCAGGGGACCGATTGCTCCAGGAGGTCAGAACCAGAGCGGGTCTAGTAGGACAGATGCCCATCCTGTTGATGCCAGGCTGAACGGGCACTGATGTATTGCTTCTCAGCTAGGTCCTCTGGTTGACGTGGAAGGTAATAAGAAGGCATTTAAAAGAAGAGAGCAGTAGGTGATGGTGCAGTTTCAATTATCCAAGACAGTAGAGGGCAGCCACGTGGCTCGTCTTTGGTAGAAAACTCAAAAGTCATTCCTTACTCTTGCCCATGAGAAACAAGGAGCCAGGGAAGGCTTTACAACTAGGATGGGAACTGACCCTAGGACTGATGAGGGTGGAGAATTGAGCTGAGAGGAGGCAAGTGGATAAGGGGTGGCAGCCCTAGAATGCAGGAGGGCAGATGTTGGGTGAAAAGAGGAGTGGACAGGAAGGAGCTTCAAGAAGTCATAAAAAACCCCAATGCACATAGTTATTATTAAGTGGGTTTTTATAACATTGTGACAATTACAGTAGGTTTTTTTTTTTAATAATGCTGCTTATGGAGTGTCAGGACTAATTAAATACCTTATAAGCAAACCTTGAGAAGCCATCGGTGTCATTTATTATTTTGGGTGAGTTGAGGTTGTTCTCAACTAGCTATCTGATGTCCCACTTAAGAAGACCTAACCTTCAGGTATTGCTGCCCCTAGAAACTGGGAAGTAACACGGATTTGGCAGAAATAATTGAAAAGTCTGCCAATCTTAACAATATAAAGCCAGCTATGAAATTATACAAAATAGGCCCCAGGGTACTTAAATAAAATAAAACGACTTCTTTCTAAGTAAATACTATGTAGGGAAAGATATTGTCCAATTAATACAGTAACTAATTCGAGAAAGTTGTTCAAAATTGACAATAAACTGCTATGGGTTTATTAGGAACATGTCTTCTTTAAAAGATCATCCCAGGACTTCAGACTCATCTGTCACTGTTCAATCAGAATGACAGCTTGCTGTTCAGTGTCAGCTGTTTTTAACTAATATGCAGTTACCTCTTCAAGTTAATTTCCACTGGGAGAAGCATGGTCTTTGGAGGTCAGGCAAACCTGGTTTTGGCTCTTAACTCTGCCGTTTAAGATTTGGGGGGACCATGGCTGAGTTTTTTAATGTCTCCAGACCTCCTTCCTCTGTCTGCAATTGTAAGTGGAATTGGATTAAATTTGCAAGTTAATCTAGTGAGAATTGGGATTTATATTGAATCATCCCAACTGGGAACAAGGTACGTTCCTACATTTACTCAATGCCTGTTCGAGTTTTGTCTTTCCTGTTTACTTCTGCACTCGTGAAGATTTGTCATTCTCCCCGTCTAGATCCTCTGATTTCATTATTAGCATTATGCTAGTTCTCTTAAAATGAACTGGGAAGTTTTCCGTATTTTTTATGCTCTGGAAGAGTTTATATCACTTTAGAATTATTTCCTTCCTTTAAAATTGGACACATTTACTCATAAGATCATTTAAGTTTCACCCCCTTTGGAGAAAATCCTTTGATTACTGTGTCAATTTCTTTTATGATTTTTTTTTGGGGGGGGTCTGCTTAAGTGTCTTACATTTTATTGAGTCAATTTTTCTAATTTATATTTTCCTAAAAATAGCCATTTATTTGTAATTTTGAACATATGGGCAGAATGTCATATGGAATATTTGTTTACAACTCCTCTGGGGTTACAGGTTATTTATAAACCCAGGTTATTTTGATTCCTAATGTTTTTTCTCTCTTTCTAAAATTGAGTAGCTTAGTTTGGGTTGTCTGTTTTATGACTGTTCTTTTCCCCACAAATAATCTCTGGGGTTTTTTAGTTGTTTTTCTTTCTCTGCCTCATTAATTTCTCTCCTTATTTTATTTTTTTTTTTATTTCCTTCTCTCTGATTCTCTTTAAGTTGGTTATGCTGTTCTATTACTAAATTCTTGAGCTGAATGCATAATTCAACTTATTTCCATTATTTTCTGTTTGATAAGAAAAGTCTTCAATGCTTTCTCCCTTCTGTTTTGGGGGGTGGGTAATTAGGTTTATTCATGTATTTCTTTTTTTAAATAGAGGTACTGGGGATTCAACCCAGGACCTCATGCATGCTAGGCAGGCACTCTGCCACTGAACTATACCCTCCCCTCTTTCTCCCTTCTGGATCTGAGCTTTGGCAGAATTCCTTAGGCATTGATATGTTTTTTCTTTATCTTTACTTTCAAGACATAATTCCTATTCTGATTTTCCCCTTGATTAAAGACTTATTTAGGAAGATGTTAATATATGTTCTGTTTACCTTTACTATCAAAGCATTATATAATTGCTATTTTGACTTCCCCATTAATTGGAGGATTAATTACAAGTGTATTATCAAGTGGTAGGTTTAAAATGTTTTTAAACATTCACACTTTGTTGTTAATTTCTAGTTTTCTTATATTTGGTATTCTTTGGGGGGATTTATTGACATTCTTGAGGATTACTACTTGGCAAAGTTTTGTGGTAATAGACAGAGTGCTTGAAAGTAAGGTAAGATCTAATCTTCAATCAACTCTGCTAGTAAGGGTTTTCAGGATTTCTGGGGTTTTTTGTTGTTACTGTTTTTTGCTTGCTTGGATTGCTGTTTTTCTCAGTTTCTCTTAGAAACTCTAATTGTTTTGTTTCACACATTTTGATGTTACGATATTTATGTTCGTGATTGATATCTTAATTGTGTATTCTAACTTTCACTATTAACAAATGACTCACTTTACCCTGTTCAATATTTTTGTCTTGAATTATACTTTGATAGTAATATTGGTTTTCTTCCTTTCTTTGTGCTTCTATTTGCATGCTATGCCTTTGACTACTCTTGTTCTTTAGGTGGATAACACTGCTATAAATGTACTCTGGGAGACAGCATATGTTGCAAACCTTTTTGAGAAAAGCAGTAGCTAAGTTAGTTTACATTAGTATTGTTTGTGGTATGATTTTCCTCTCTTCTGTCATCTTAATTTTTTCTCTTTTTATGCTGTGTTACTATGTTTATTGTCTTCTCTTTTTGATGCACAGATTTGCTTTTTTTAGTAAGCCAGACAGTATAGGTTTTGCTTTTATTCTACATTACTCATTAAAGAACAAAGACGAAAAAGTTCGATTCGAATGTGTATTTCTCTGATTACCAGTGTTAAGACTGAACTATGCAGATACTAACTACTATATATAAAATAGATAAACAACAACTTTCTGCTGTATAGCCCAGGAAACTATATTTAATATCTTGTAGTGACCTATAATAAAAAAGAATATGGAAAGGAATGTATGTATGCATATGTATGACTGAAACAGTGTGCTGTACACCAGAAACTGACACAACATTGTAAACTGACTGTACTTTCAATTAAAAAAAAAAAAGACTGAACTGGTGTTCACTTCTCCCCCAGTAATATAAGGAAGTTAGCATTCTTTACTTCCTTTTATTCTTCCCCTCTCTCTTGCTTCCCATATGTAATTGGTTTAATATGGCATTTTATTGCCAGCTTCTTATTTTTAATTATTTTAAACATGTATTAATCGTTAAAGAATTCATTTTTATATTGATTTATAGCAATGTTTATAATAATTATTTAAACAAGTATATGTTTCTATAGTTTCAGTACTGTCAGTCCTTTGGTACCAGTTTCTCTGTTTTTTCTCTATTCTTATTTTTCTCTGTATAGTGACTTTTGTCTATTTACTGAAGAATGGGATACTTTCTGAGCCCAGGATTTTCTGAGAATGTCCTTTTATTGTCCTCACAAGTGAATGGGAGCTTGATTGAAAATAAAACTCTTGGGCCGTAACCTTTGTTATCAGAATTCTAGGGGCATTTCACTTTGGTTTTGGGAATTTAAAGTTTTGAAAGAGGAATTTGAAGGTGTGATTTTAAATAATTCCTGTGTAGGCAATCTGATTTTTCAGCCTGAATATCACAGAGGCTTTCTTTATGTGTGAGGGTCGAGACTTTAGTCATTTACTCATACACACGGTCAGTGTTTATTGACCACCTACTATGTGTTTGACATTGTTTTAGGCATTGGGATTTCCATAGTGAATGAGACGGAAATCCCTTCTCTCATGAAACTTCAGTCGTGGGTTATATACATGTTAATGTTTTTCACTAAGTTTTCCTAGTGCCCCTGTGACTTTCTGGATCTTCAGATTTCAGTTTATCGACCTATTAGGAACATTTTCTTTCATTAAATCTCTGATTGTTATTATTATTTGGATTCTTCAAATACTCCCATGTGGAATTTCTTGTCTGTCTGGATTGGTCTTCTATTTTTTCTTTCTATTTTTTTTTTCAGATCCATGCCTTTTTTTTCTCTGCCTTTTATGAATAGGCAACATTTCTTCTTCTTTTTTCTTTTTAATTGAAGTATAATCAGTTGACAATGTTGTGTCAATTTCGAGTGCACAGCATAATGTTTCAGTCATACATATACGTACATATATTCGTTTTCATATTCTTTTTCATTAGAAGCTCCTATAAGGTATTGAGTATAGTTCCCTGTGCGATACGGAAGAACCCTGTTGTTTGTCAATAGGCAACATTTCTGATGCACTTTAAATTCTGTTGTTGCACTTTCATTTCCTTTGGTTTTTTGTCTTATCTAGTTCCCTTTTTATTTCTGCCTCTCTCAGCCAGTTTCCTCTCTGCTGTCACATTCTCTTACCATGTCATCCTTTATCTGCTTGAATCCATCTTTAAAACTTTTTTCCGAAAGTACGAAACAAATGTTGCTGAATTTTACCATTCTTTTGCTCAGTTTTTTTCCCAGAAGTGTTCATTCTTCGCCTCCTGAGCACGACCTCCCTGTTCTTCTTTGTAGGAACATTTCATAGACTCCTCCCCTCCCCCCAGATTACTTATCCTTGGAAGATAAAAGTTTTATCTAGGTTTGATGTTTCCTTCATAATAAAATGAACGTCAGTCCCTTTGATCTTACATTTTACTGGGTAATGTTAGCGTGCTTCTCTCAGATCTCATCCTGAAGGATTCCCTGCTGGTTGGATGAGTCAGTGTCCTCTGCGGAGCAGCTGTGGGAAAGCCTACTGCCTGGAACTTTACTTCTGAGCACTTTGCCATCTTGACTGGTGAAGCTGTGTAGCTCTTGGGCCAGCTCAGCGTCGCCTGGCTTCATTATGGGGCTGTAGCCTACGGAGGCAGGGAAGAAGCAAGTGCCTCCTTCTGCCAACCCTGGCTCCCTGTCAGGCGGGGCCTCCAGGTCCCTAGGCGTCCCCTTAGAAGTCCCTTCCTGGTGCTGATCTCCATTGTGCTAAGGAAAGGCTATTACTATTATAAGAAGTAGGAATAGTAATCTTACTAGCAGTGTATATACCCTGGGTGCCTATCAGAATTGCCTGGTGAATTAAAAAAAAAAAAAACCACAGATGTCCAGACTTTACTTCAGCTCTGCTATGTCTAGGTGATTCTGATATGCATTTAGGATTGGAAACCACCAAGCTAAATGGCTCCAGATGGAGCAGGGCTCTGGCCTGTCCTTGCTCCCAGCCCCACCTCTGTGGGCACCAGTCCTCCCCCAGTTGGTGCCTCTAAGAATTTGGGACCCTGCCCCTTTGCTCAGAAGGCATGGTGCAGAGTCGCTCTCAGCGAGCATCCTTCTTTGCCTGGTCTCTTCTACACTGTGCTGAGCAGAACCATCTTCATGTTGCTGCCTTGTGGATGGCAATCAACCCTTCTTTCCAACCCAGATGCAAATTTTGACCCATTTTCATGATTCTCAGTCGCTTCTGTCAAAATTGGTGGGTGGGAACTGGGAGCCAGGTGCCTTTGTTTTCCCACTATAATGGCTGTAAGTGGGAAAATCATACTGAGATGGAAACTGTGCAGACAGGACCTCTGCTGTACACTGTGTGTGTGTGTGCAGACAGATACTGTATGTGGAATTTCTCCCATACACATATTTGGTGTGCCTCAAAATCATATGCATGCATGTGGCAATTTTTGTTTCTGACGTCCTCACGAAATCGTTAAAATAAAAGTCGGGAAGATAAAGGAAGCACATGTGATAGGTCTTCATTCTCTCATAACCATACTTTCACATTTTCCAATTATAGCCAAGACTGTTTTCTCTCAGCTAACTGCCGGGTGCTGTGTATGTCGGTGATATTTGAAATGCTGCGGACAATTCCCATTTTGAATAGAATAATTTATTGTTATCATTACTTCTTAGGTAGCAGAGACTCCCGTGGGAGAAATACACCCAAAAGGTCGTTATCAAAAGCTTCTCTCTGCTAGACATTGAAACTTTTTCTTACTCTTAGAAAATGTATGGATTTGTTTGTTAGGAAATCTGCTTTTCCTTGAAAATTAGCCACGGTACTACTGGACTCTCTGTGAGTTTTTTATTCATTGGTAACAAACTTCTTCTTCGTCTTTTTTTTTTTTTAATACATTAAGAAAATAGAACATCGAAGGAATGAATTAGACTAGGGGAGACATGAAATGACTTTCCTTTTCTGTACAGTGATAGAAATACAGCTGTTCTCTGATTATTTTACTGCCTTAGTACTCATCTGAGTGGCTCTTGAAATACTGTCTCCTATGAGAACCAACATCTTGCCCGATCATCTACTTTCTGGTCATCTTCTAGGTTGGAAACACCTGCTCTGAGAGGTCTAAGAGGTCTAATCCATGACCTTTGGCTTTTTAAAGTAATTCTTATGTTTTATTGACGTGTAGTTGATTTACAATGTTAGTTTCAGGTGTATAGCAAAGCAGTTCAGTTATACATGTACATAGTTTCAAATTCTTTTCCATTACAGCTCATTACAAGAAACTGAATATAGTTCCCTGTGCTATACAGTAGGTCCTTGTTTATCTGTTGTATATATAGTAATGTGTACCTGTTAATCCCCAACTCCTAGTCTGTCCGTCCCCTCTCCTTCCCTCTCTGGTAACCACAGTTTGTTTTCTATGTCTGTGAGTCTATTCTGGTTTGTAAATAAAATTTGTATTTTTTTTTTTTTTTTAGATTCTACATCATGACCTTCAACTGTATTCAGCTTTTCCCTTAGTCTCAGACTTTCTGGCTATTGATATACTTAATTTCATGACATTTTATTTGTGGACTAGCCAAGTGATAGAATTAACTTTTTAAAAATCTCACAGCTTTGTTGGTTTACAGCAGTTTAAGTTTATGTGTTACTTCATTTGAGTCAACAGCCTGTGATGTAAGAAAAGGAAACCAGACTACTTGGTGTCACAAATAAAGAAACTGAGGTTCAGAGGGGTTAAGTGACTTAGCTAAGGTCATGCAACTAAGTAGTTATAGAGCCAGGACTGGAAGCCAGATTTAATGTTCTTGCTGTCAGACACTCTGTTGGCTCTCAGAGCTTTGGCTGTACTTGGCCGTGGTATGTTTTGCTAAGATGATGCAACCTTCCCCTGTGTTCTCTCTTATCTTTTAGAGGATGATCTCTTAGAAGATGATGGGATTTTCAATATTTCAATATTTAATGAAGCTTGTTTAAAATTGAACAGGCATTCTAGGAAAGTTGGATCAGAACGCATGTACCAAGTAAGACGATTTCTTGTGCTATTTGTTAAAAGAATTGTGTTGCTTAAAAATTTGAGTGCTCTCCAAGTGAAGATCCAGAGTATTTAAAAACACTAATGGAATGAACTTCTAGACTGATTTTTGTTTCTAGAGATGGATGTGAGATGGATGCAGGTGAGGGACTAAATTGAAGGAAGGCACTGTTACTTGGCGATTTGTTACCATTTTCTCTGTCTGGTATTTCACATATATTTTAGTACATTTATAGTTGCAGCTTATTTTGCCATCAAATTCACACTTGCAGATGGATTTTTAAGAACGTTATTGCAGGGTTCTTGGTCCTCATTTCACTTGAATTTATAAACACCACAAATCTCAAGTAACGTTATAAGTGTATTCCGGCAGGAACTGAGATTTCTTATTTTGGTGTCATTTTTAGTGCCTAGCAAATCATCTGGCAGAGAGTAGACTAAATGTTAAATTAAAATTAATTCATTAACCATTTGCCAACAGAATATCATGTATTAAGACCTGGACGTTCTGATTCAAATTAATACAGATATACACATAAACAGATAACTACAATGTGGTATAATGAGGGCTTTGGTAAAAAGCAAATAAATGGAATAGGAGATTGTATGTTTGTGTGTAGATGTCCAGGTGCAATTTTTTTTTTAACAAGAAGCAAAAGCAATGCTATCTGTTTTTTTTTTTTTTTTTGGTGGCGAGGAGGTACTTAGGTTTATTCATTGATCTGTTTTTAGTGGAGGTACTGGGGATTGAACCCAGGATCCTGTGCATGCTAGGCATGCACTCTACCACTGAACTATACCCTCCCCTGCTGCTGTCTGCTTTTTAACCAGATAAAAGAGGTCAGATGAGGTGAAGAAGGGCATCGTGGGCAAAGAGAGTAGTTTATTGGGTAACAGAGAACATGGCTTTCTTGGGGAAGAGAGAAAAAGCAAGTAGAGGTGAAAAAAGGTGAGTCAGAAATCTTAGCAGTGACCTGATCATCCCTGTATCCTGTGCTTGAACTTGGATCTTATTTTGATGTTTGTGTGGAGGCACTGAAGGATTTTAAGCAGGTGAGTGGGATATAAGAACACTGGACCTAGAAATATATTCAGGTACCCTAATAATTTAATATTAAATAAAGATGATTTTTCAAATGAGCACAGAAATAAATGGTTCTGGGACAGTTGGTTAAGACAACTCTTAATTCTCACTCTTAAGATGATTAAAGAGTTCACTTGAAAAAATTGCTATTTTTTTAATATGTTAGACAAAGATTGATTTGGGTAACATGTGAAACATTCTTAACAAATCCTGTGTGGGAAAAAGTGAGCATTCAAAGGCAGTTTGCAAAAGACAGTATCCACACTGCCAAAACACACATGAACACATTATGCCTCAAAAAAAAAATTTAAACCATGAGATACCATAATTTTTCTATAAACTTGGAGAGAGTATAGTTACACAGCTGTGGGCACTTAAATTAGCATGACTTTTCTGGAATCGTTATGTGCTAGCATCTATCAGTAAACTTTCAAAAGTGCACTGTAATTATTCAGACACATACAGAAAGATTAAACTGTTCTCTGAAGCTTTATTTATAATAGGGGAAATTGGCAACAATTTAAATGTCCATCAGTAGGAATTTGGTTCAATACATAATCATACATTCACCGGATAGAACACTACGCAGACATAAAATATGCTGTGCTCCACACCGGCCAACATTTGCTGCCGTGGGCCAATATTCCTACTGACAGTCTCTTTTTCGCCTGTTGGTTTGACCCCTCTCAGTCTCCCTTCCCCTGCCTAACCCTTAAATTTGATTACTATCAAAGTTGCGCCTTGCCTGTTCTCTTGTCATTGTAGACCCCTCTTTGGGTGTCTTACCCATTCTCTTGACTTCCTTGACTATCTCCATGCGGAAGACCCCTAAATCGACTTCTTCGGGCCTAATCTACTGTATAACTCTGGGCCGTGTTCTTCCCGACAAACTTCCTGCGCGCCCTTCAGCCCTGTGTCTCCACATGTGTGACCCCCCACCGGCAGTGCCCTTCCCTCCCTTACGGTAGCTGGCTAACTCCTGCTGGTCCTTCAGTGCTCAGCTCAGTCATCGTCAGGCCTTCACTGACCTCCTCCTCCAAACGCTGTTGCTGCTATCTGAGCTGTTTTTTGTACCCTGACTTTTCACATCCCCAACTCACCTGGTTCATGCTAATTTTCTCCTTCAGTCCACAATTAAGATGGGGAGGCCTTCCCAGATCCCCAAAGAGGAAGCTCTGGTGTCTCTCCTGGGTGCTCCTACAGCCTCATGTTTTATGACACTTATCCCTGGGTGTCCTATTTGCCTGAATACTTATCTGTGAGTTCCCTGAAGTCAGGGCCTGTATCTTCTTTTCCATTGTGTTCCCTGGCTGGCAAACCATAGGCACTCAATCTATTCATAGAATGAATTCACGATAGAGAAAAACCTTTATGTCATTGAAGAAAAGGACATTATGAAATTGCACATACAGTGTGATTCAAAGTTTGTAGCTAGAAAGTAATTTTTTTCTTTAAAGACTGAACTGCATGTAGTTTAGGATGAGACCGACTTTGTAGAAGCAGCCTGCGAAGTTGTGAGGTTTTCTCCAGCAGATGGCAGAAGTCTGAATGCAGACGGGGTGAAGTCAAACATCTGGATGGACCCAGTACTTTGGGTTTTCTAGAATGGGTGGAATTGAGAACAAAGGGGCAAGAGTATAAGAGTATGAGGCAAAGAGACTGGTGGAAGTGACAGACAACGGTCTCTGAGAGCAATGGGGAAGACTAGGATGGGGGTGGTAGAATATTGGTAGACAGTCTCGAGTGAGGAAATCTTGGGGGCAGAAATCTTGAGAGAGACCGGGCATGGTGAGAGTGAGTGGTCCAGAAGAATAGGGGACTGTGAGATCTTGGTGGAGCAGTTCAGAGGATGGTGCCGCCTAGGATGTGGCCATGGATATGGGCAGCTAAAGTGGAGTGGAGAAACTTCATAGCACTGAACTCATGGAACCTGGGAGGTCAGGTTTTTGTGGCGTATCTATATGTTACCCAAGAGCATATTAGGAATTGGGGGAGAGAGGAATCTCCCGGTGAGCCAGGTGTCAGGGTCTTGGATGCCTGTGGAAGAATGACAATGATGATGAAGGATAGAGTGTGTAATAGCCAATGACATGAGCATCAAAGGAAACACAAAATACATGGATATCCAGCTAAAGCACATTGATTGATCAAGGGCTGATCATGTTACTCCTGGGACCTTCACGTATTTTTTTCCCTTGTAAGTCCCTGTATTATACATACATCTTGAGTTGGCGATGATTAGAGTTGTTATTGGGTGAGCAGTGTGTATGGTGACTCGGTGGACCAAAAACTCTTTACCAGAGCTCTAACAGGAAGGATCGAGTGAAGGACAATTGCTCAGTTGCTTTAAATGCGTAATTTGGGGGTAGTCCTCATGAAGTTTAGAAAATCTGTTCCATGAGGCTTATCTGTGGATTCCCCTATTGAATAAAAAGAATTTTACCCAGTCATTCCAGTATAGTTTCCTTTTCCTGGGGAGGCTCAAGGGATTACTTTAGAAGAGACTGGCACTTTGTCCATCTGAAACATAGTTATGCATATTCTAAGCTTAGTCTTGTAGCTGGTTGAGGGGGAGGTTGACTAGGGTAGGTCGGTTAGCTTTGCAAAGTCCTTCCCTAGTTCAGCTTGCTACTGTATTAAAAATAATTCTCTGTCGGTGCGGACAAGGAGAAGGAACCTTTTTGCTTTATTTCCATTTTGCTTATAGTCTAAGTATCGCAAGCCAAACAAATTCAACACGTTACTTTCTTTCAATCTCATGACAGTTTCAAGTTCTGGGTCAAAAGTGGTATCTGAGTCATTTTTATCACGCAACATCATTGAACTTCACAACGAGGGAACAAGCTGCCGTGGTGTGTTTAGATCTCTATCCAGCAACTAATTACACCGTGAACGTCACCCTCCTGGGATCTCCCGAGCAGCACTCGGTGCAAACGACAGTAACCACACCAGCCGGTAAGTGTAGGCATCTTCGGTTTGGTATCCCAGGTCAACGGTACCATGTGGAGGAGCGTAAAGGATGCTAGTCTCGGAGTCAAGAGACCTGAGTTCTCGTTCTGACAAACTACCAACTTGGTCTGGGGTTCAGGGTGCCTGAATCTTACCACCTGTCCCCTTCCTCACGGGGGCTCCGGTCGGAGAGGGTACAGACCAGGAAGGGCTGCCTTACTCAGGGCTCCCCAGGAGTGGTGGGTGGAGAATACTGTAAGGCTTCCTATCTCTCACCCCAAACCTAAGACAGGTGGACCCTGGGGGAGTCATTATGGACTAGAACCAAGGAGATCAGAAACGGGAGCTGCACTGTGTGCACTGCTGGGAGGACAAAGAAGCCTCCTGACTGAGCCTTGTAGGAGCTTGTTAGACACAGAGGACAGTGGCCTAAGCAGGTCAGGCTCCTCCCCCTGTGGCTGGTGAGGAAGTTGCATAGAGGCCGGCTGTGCCAACTCCACAGCTCCCCCTAGTGGGGAGGGATGCCGACATCCCTACAATGTCTTTTGTCTCTTAATTAGGTTTAACACACACATTTCTGGGCAACCCCACAGAGAGGCTGCCCGCTTCGAGTGAAAGACAGTAGAATAGGATGGGTCTTGCGCCTGCCTTCCTGCGGCCTTTCTCTGTTCACCACTGTTCTTTGTGGGCCAGGAGTGGGCACTTCGGTCTTTGGACTTGGAAGGCTCTGAAATGTACTAGACACTACTGAGGGCCATGCAGCCCCGGAAGCTGGAAATTCACTTTTATTCTATTTTTTCATCTCAGATTATACCTTGTATCAGAAGAGGCTGCTTGAATACCTCAGGACAGCATAAACCTAGTCCCCAGATACATTTCCACATCACAATTTGAATATGCATTCCCTCCAATTATTAAATCCTCAGAGAAATTAAAGTTTGAAAATAAAATCCACTTCCCCTTGTAAACTCTAGTGTAAAGGCTCTAAAGTCCCAGATTTTCTTCTTCCACAGCATCTTCTCTGCCAAGCCTCAGCCAGAGCGGTCTTGCTGAGGCGGAGAGTGTGTTGCAGCCTAGAAATCTTGTTCTGTACTGGATGTTACTCCTCTGCTGCCTCCAACGTTGAATTCATCTTATTCCAAGTTTCATTTTCCCCATTTCTCAGTCTAAGTCCCAGAGATACAAAAGTTAGAAAAGCAAAATTATGTGACAGTTCCACAACACTGAATGTACTAAAATGTCACTGAGTTGTACAAAGTGGTTAACTTTATGTTGCGTGGATTTCACCTCCCATTTTTTCAAAAAGCTATGTTCCCTTTTTTTCTTTTTACAGGGGGCGTTAATTAGGTTTATTTATTTTATTATTATTTTTTTTTTAGTGGAGGTACTGGAGATTGAACCCAGGACTTCGTGCGTGCTAGACATGTGCTCTACCACTTGAGCTACACCCTCCACCTGGATTAGATGTTCTTCTTGCACTTGGGTCTCACACCTTTTGAGTGATACAAGTGAAATATTTAGAATAGTTCCTAGCACGTAATAATGATGATGGCAATAATGACCATGTTGACTGAGTCCTGAAGATGTCCAAGTAGTGTTCCCAGTGCTATCCCTGAGTCAACTCAAACCTACCCAACCTTTTGAGGAAGGCATTACTTTTATTCCCATTTTACAGATAAAGATCATGAGGCACAGAGATGTTAAACAACTTGCCCAAGATCACACATCTAGTGAGATGTACAGCTGGGATGTGAACACAGGCTGTCTGGCTCCAAGGCCCTCATTTTAATACACACACCTACTGGTTTTTACTAAATATTTAGTTCTTAAAAAAAAAAGAAAAATTGTGTTCCAAGAACCTAGTGCATAGTCAGTCCAGACCCAGCTTGCTCTTGTCAGCCTTGGACCATGAGCAAAACCTTCAAATGCCATGGGGGCGTGAATGCATTCATTTAATAAATGTTCATTTCCTATCTACTGTCAGGCAGGTTCTGATAGCTGACCAATGCAGCAGCTATAAAGCAGGCTGGAGTCAGGAGGTTGGAGAGGAGACAGATAAGGAAGGAATGTGGTAGGTAGGGCTAAGTGGTCACATGAAGGATAAAGCTTGGCGAAGGGAGTGACAATTGGTGGTCAGGGAAGCCCTCAGTTATAAGGAGACATTTCAGCACCGATCTGAAGGAAGGGAGGGACTAACGTGGGCAGAAGGGGGACACCATGGGTCTTTGGCATGTTCTGGGAACATCAGGGAAGCCAGCATGGCTGGAGCAGAGTGAGCTGGAGAAAGTGGTAGGAGATGAGATCTAAATTTCAACTTGTGTATAAGCAGGGAGCCATGGTGTCCAGTTCTGAAAGTAAGACCAGTGTCACCTCCTCCTTTGCAGAGTGGACCCCAGATTATCAGTAGTGAGTATAATCTAGCATGTGTTGTTGCAGCCTCTCTAGGTTACTAAGCAGTCTGAAGGCCATCCCCTGTGAATTGAAACTTAACTGGGGAAATCTCTTTTTCTGAGGTTACTTGGATTCAGCTGACACTAGGCTTCCCATCTGCTGTGGGGGAAGGGAATCTGCTCTCCTTGAACGTTTTGGAACTTGACTGGGGTGGCTCCGGGTCTTTCTCAGTGCCCATCCCATGTATTTAGAACCTTTTCTTTTCATTTCTCCTTTCATTCTGTTTCTACCCACCCTCCACCATCGCTGAAGATCTTAGTCTGTTCAGTGAAAGAGCCTTCTTTCTTGATGGGCAGGAGACTCCACATTTACAGTAAGAAACGCTCCAAGTGAAATGCATTGTCTTGCAGCCCCAGTTTCCTGCTCTTTTCTCTGAATTTCTCTCTCCCTAGAGAGATCCCAAGAGTTGTTTTAATTCTGAGCAGCATGCCTTCCTACTATTGAATGCCTTGCTTCTGAGTCCTGCTTCCTCATTAGAAGGTTCCCCTTGTCTTCCCTGGAGAATTACCCTCAGTTGATCCTTGAGCTGCTGTTGAATTTCTGGAACTCATGCTTTCACTGGCCTGATGAGGTCCAGGAAGTTCCCTAGGTCAGTGATTTTCCACCCAAGCCCCACCTTTCCTTAGAACTGAAGTTCATATGACTTCAAGTTTTCTCTTCCTCCCTGATGTGATTTCCTTTGCTTCATTTCATTCTCTCCTAGTCCTGTCCTATTGGCAAGACCAAAGCCTGTTCTGTAAACTGATTTCATTCCTTGTTCAGAGGCTGGGCAAATCTCACCTCTAGAAATGGAGGGTTCTAGGCATATACCTTAGTGACTCCTCAGCACTCGAGTTTGTAATCATCCCACTGGGTTTTGTCCACTTCCACCCACAAAGAATCCGTGCTGCCGAACCCCCAGTTGGGAGCTCTGTGAAACAGTCCAGGGCAGTATGAGAGCCCGTGGTGCTGGGGTGACCCCGAGCCTGTAGACAAACCATGGGTTCTATCTTCTCTCAATCTCTCTCTTCCGAACATGATAAAAGAGGAACGGAATTTGGGGCAGCTAACCTACTGTTGTCTGCTAGTGTCCGGCTCCCTCAAATGCTCTCTGAAATCTCTCAGAATCTCCCACTAAGGCTCTTTGTGCTTCTCAAACTTCAGCACACATAAGAATCACTTGGAGAGCTCACTAAAACACTGGTTTCTGGGCTCCATCCAAGAGGCTCTGATTCAGCAGGCTGGGAGTGGGGACCCCAAATTTTCATTTCTAGCAAGTTCCCAGGCCTGGTGGATGCCGGCGGTCCACATTTTGAGCAGCACTGCTCTACCACATAGACCTCCCTTACCTCTGGGCAGTTAAAAGCCTTCACTTGAAAGAAAAGACGTGGTAAAAAGAAATACCAAAAAAAAAAAAAAAGAAAAAAGTGGTTCCCAAAATAATTCAATCCCAAAAATAATTCTTAAGCTCACGCTTAAGAAACCTTTGTGTTGAAATTTTGCCTGATTTGTGAAGTTTTCCTGGTAATCGAAACATCATCCATTCTTCCTGTTCCAGCTTGGGAACCGACAGCCTCCATCTTCCCCAGTCGTGCTTTGCTGCTGGGTGGCAGCCCTTGTCTTTGTATAAACTCACAGTCCCTCCCAGTTAGTGTACTCACGTGTCGCAGGCCGGAAAGACTGCATCTTAGCCCTGCTTCCCACAGACTAACAAATGAGAAGTTAAGTATCCATTTATTGCCCGAGCAAGTTCCCAGGAACTGGCCCCCACCCCCACCCTCCCCGGACTCCACCACACAGTTTTTAGTACAAGCTACGCCGGAGCATGAGGCTTAGACGTGTGGGCAAATGAGGTTTCCTGCTGCCTTTCCCGCGGAAGTATGAGCCATTATATCTGCCCACGAACCTTGCCTGGCCGTCCCCCCCAGGCTCAGGCTGAAAAGCCGAGGAGAGGGAGGGGGCGGAGACTGGCTACTTACCTCTTGGAGGCTGGGGATGCTCATGCCTCTTGTGCCTGAGCACAGGCAGGTCCCGGAGAGCAAAAACTTGCATCTTGTTTGGGCAGTGACCTGTAATATATCAATTCCACCCACTAGGAAATATGACCCAAGGAGTTGCCTTCTTACCTGAAAGATTGTGTATTTACTGTTTCTCCCTTGAGGATTAATCAGTACAATGTGGAGAGAGGCCAAAACTGTCTTTTCCTTTATAAAATTGAAAAGACAGGGAAATGGTAACCTTTCACACATGTGAACAAGATAACTGACCTCTGTAATGTCAGGGAGTTGATCAGGAAAGGTCCATTCTAGTTCTAAGAGTCTGTGTTAGGAAAGCAGTTTTAAATTCCTTCAATTCATTCATTTCAACCTCCAGATTTCTTGGCTGACTTATTTACCATGATTATTTCACTTTTCTATTCAATTTTGTGTTCTTATTGACATATGCAACGTATGTATATAGTAATAGTTTATTATTTGTGTCAATATTTCTACTGTTTCATTGTTTCTTTTAATTTTGCTTATGGTGTTTTGACATATAAAAGTCCTAGATTTCTATGCAGTCAAATCTATTGATCT